CTTTGCTTGTGCAAGATTCTACACCAGATCCTCATAGCAACGTTTTTGCTCAGCTTGTTCTTGCTTTCTCAATTCAGCATTTTTAGAGATTTAAGTGCGTGACGTACGTGAAATTTTCCACATACAATTGAAGAGATGGTCTTCAACTTTTATGCATCGAACGAATATAGTGTCGTCCATTTAGATTTTTTTTCGCTCAATATATTATTTAACTCGAATATTTTGAATTTTTGTTGCTATTTTAGATAAAACTATATCCTGCCATAAGTAGTTTAACAATAGGCTAATTGACATCTTTTTATTTATTTTATAAATAAATAGTCCATTAATATCTGAGAAAGAATGTAGGATATCTGCGGTCAATAGTTTTGGTAATATGGTGGAACTGCTTAGTCGATCGAAAACGCTCCATACAAATTCAAGGCACTAAGTGAATTTATACGGTGCTAATGTAGTGAAAAACGTATGGGCGTTTGGGCAATCTTTGTTATTTGTGCGTTTATGTTTATATCTGTTATAATGAAAGTTGTAACGTTTTATGTAACTAATTTAACGCCATATGTATTTTAGAAAATTTTTATAGTAAATTTTTCCTCCCTTTTTCAAGTTTTTGCAGCGTAATATTTTGGAAATTGTGTCATAAAATTTATTTTGATGCATATATTTTAGTTAAAATGGTTCATAGATTCCGAACATAATAAAAACCTGCATTTTTCACTTGTAGGACACAAGCCTATTTCCTATTATTGTTATTGTAAAAATCGCAAAATTGAAAACGAAAGCTACTTTGCTTTATGAAAAAACAAAGATACCAAAAATCAAAATACCGTTTTAAAAGTACTGTAGCGTCATCTAGTGGTCTGTAGCGTCGGCTAAATATAACATTCAACTTTTTCCCCTGATTAAATAATAACTTTATTTTGTTAAAAAATTAGAGCGCTAGAGAGAAAAGATTAGAGCGGCTTCTCTGTTGCCTTAATAGGATTGGAAACAATAAACACGATTAGTTCGTACCACGATGGCACCCTTTGTATTAATCCCCAAGGTATAGAAAAATCGGAACAGTTGTAATAAGCTTGAAAATTGTTAGTACTTACTAGCCGGAGACTTCCTTAGGACTATATTTTAGACAAAATTCGCGACAACACTGAAATATCAAAAATTGTAGGAGTTCGAATTGAAAGATTGAGTTCGGAAAACAATCTCTTTACTAAACTTTCAATACAGTTACCTTACAATTAAATACTTATGAGATAATTTTTAATGAGTAATAACTATTTGCGCGGAGGGGAGCCGGCCGTGTGCTATCTATGACTTCCTCGCGTGAACTGGTAGCTATCCTATCATGGCAATAGTGCTGCCCACTTTACCGCTAGGGATGTTCGCACTACAAAATTTATTATTTGCAATAAGTAATTCGCCAATGTATACTTAAGACTCAGCCACGTTTGTTTAGATTTCTAAAGTTCAGATATTTTATTGAAAAAAAAAAAAAACTTACGAGTACAATATTACGAGCACAGATTACTATTTTTCTTATATTATGAGAAATATACTTCAAGGTTAATGTTTTTGTCAAATCTATAAGCAGATTACCTGGGATGTTTCACCGGAATAGGACCACATATGTGGGTCATATAATTTTTAATTATGTTCTGGGTAAATAATAGCTATATCGATAGGAATACTCCGTCAACCTCTGGGTTGTAATGTAGTTACATGTATATTACTTTAAAAAAATCTTGTGGATGATTTACAGTTATGAATGCAATAAAAAAATATTATTTTTAAAATATTTTTTTTAATTACGTTCTTATTAAAATCCCGTGATACCAGAATTGTAGGTCCATTCAAAAGGTTATTGTTATAAAGCTTTGCAAATGACTGTAAAAGTACAAAATTTAGCAAAATTTTACACCCAATGTTGTATACGAATAAATAATAATTTATTAAAAGCATATAAACAAAAAATATTGAATATAATTAAGTTCATAGACTATAAATTAAATTGTATTTCTTTTCTTTACTGATTGTATATCAATTCATCTCTGCTCACTTCTGTCTTGCAAATGATTATTAAGAATGTAAAAAATTCAATAGAAAAACAAGTTAAGGCTTGATTGAGATAAAGGTTATTGTTAAGGGAAAGTTGTTAAAAAGCTCAAATAAACATTGTAATATTAGAATTAAAATAACTTGTGTACTTATACCAGACATCACAATTTGGGACGACAGATAAAAAAATAGAGATAAGGGCATAGAAAGTTGTTTAAAAAAAAAGAGGAATCATAAGCAGCTTATAGTTATGTCCAAACCAGTGCGCTTTAAATTGAATCATGTAGTTCAATTTTCATTTCCAATTTATCATAGTCGCTCTATGCAGCTTAGTGCCCGTAAATGCGCGTTTATTACATTTTACAAGCTTTTATTTAACTTGCGGTGTTACTGTTAGTACGTTTGTTAGTGCGCAAATCTTGGAACCCAAATTTGACTCACTTCCGCATGTCTGATATATTTCCTTTTTACTTCGACACTTCTTTCTAGAATGGTTTTACATCTGAAATTTGTCAGTATTCTACATGCTAGCTATGGAAGAGATAAGAGTCATGATCGTTGTGAGACAGAAGTGCGAAGTTTTGTATAAAACTTTGGAATATAGAGAACAAGAGCAGAAATGTGAAACAGATTGGTAAACTATTAAGACTATTCGTATGTCGCGTCCTCTGGCCCATGTGGTGCTGAGGGCTGGGGTTGGCGCTCCCTTTTTTTGGAAAACTAAGTGTGGTCCACATGGTCATCCACCAGCGTTCCGACCATAGTAGTGACAGATGTCGATTTATGAGCATTATTATATGTGATCCAACCAAAAATTAAAACAAAAATTTTGCTCGATAGTTGTAGATGTTATTATTTGAAGGCACTAGGATCAAGCTGATACAGCCAATACAAGGTATTTTTGTATGTTCACACGACAATGTTGACATTCCAAAGCTGCTTTAACATTTTTTTACCGTCCTTTTATTATATTTTGGTATGTTTATTTGTAATGTTTGTGTTACGTAATTACAGGAGGTATATTGTTAATAATACCTACTGTTAATAATAATAATAATAATAATTTATTTAATTCTTTCCATTACAAAATTTAAATAATCTTAGGTCCCACAAAACTATATTAACAGTTTGACTGTGGTTGGGCTAGGAGTCTCGTTTTGAGTTACATGTAATGCTACTTGATTAGTATAATTTATTCATTAACATACATGTTAAGTACAATATGTGTTACAGGCTTACTTACAAACCTTTACAAAGATAGAAAAAAAACACCTACGTGATAAGATTGCATATACTATACTGTTGAATATGTATTTAATAAGACATGCTTTAATTTTCTTTTAATGTATATTATAAAATATTTCAGCAACTACATACCTTGAACATCTTTCACGATAATATTTTGTCTAATGTCTAAAATACATAGATTTACATGCAAAATTGACAGCATACAAACGCGCAAAAAAACAGATTTTTTTAATATATCAACTTTAGAGTCACTCCAACCATATCTTTGTTTGCCTTTTTATATAGATCTACTCAAATCCAGTAGTGTCTTCAAATGCAAATTTGGAAAAACTTAGTCAATTCGCAAACAAACAAATAGCTTACTAATATCACTATTTTCATTGTTGCACATAGATCTGGGGTCTCTTGATAAAATATGAAGCACAGCCAGATGGAGTGGAACTGTATCAGTTTTTCTAGATTCTATCAGGACAGATAAATTGAAGTTTAAGAAGTAACGATGTGAAGTTTGCTCATTCTTTATTTAATACAGTTTGATTGTTTATTGTATGATTAAACGATTAATTTGATTAAATTATATGATTAGAAACTGTTCCTATTAATATGAATTAGTTCTATGAATTTGAATTTTCCAGAAAATTTAATTAGAGCACAAAATCTCTCGTATATATTCAATTAATACACCAGGTACATAGCTATTTTATTTCAAGGCCCACATTTGTTATCTTTATTTCGAGGATAAATCCGAAGTGTAATTGAAGATTAAACGAACTTACCTAATTGAAGTTCTATCCCAATTACGACGCTTTGTCCAAAGAAATGAAGACCCATCCCATCCCGATATGTTTTGCTATTTACCAGGTTTATTCACTGAGATTGGGCGAGAAGTGTTCTTATGTTTCAGGCTTTCAAATAGATGAAGTTTAGTTCTGTCGAACGGAAGGAAGTGTATGTTGTCTGATTTTTTTTCCTTTATGGTATGGAACTATATGGTGATAGATGGCCGCACCTAGATGCTATACCACATTTTGTTATTTTAATTTCTTAGCCTGTTAGGCTTGTGTCCTATAAGAGAAAATACAGGTTTCCGTTATATGTTCGAAAAATATGAACCATTTCAATATTAACGTATTAATATTTAACAAAATAAATTTTGTGACACTTTCTTGGAAAATATTATGCTTTGAAAACTTAAAAAAGTATGGAAAATAAACTATAAAATTTGCTAAAATACATTTGGCATTAAATGAGTTACATATAACGTTACAACCTTCATTATACATACATAAGCGCACTTCAACTATAATAAATAACAAAGACATTACAAAGATTGCCCAGACGTCCATACGTTTTTCGCTACCGTTTCACTGTATGACGTCACTTAGTGTCTTGACTTCGTAGGGAGCGTTTTCGGCCGACTAGCAGCTGTTCCACGAACATAGCACCGTATCTCAGAAATTATTAATCGCTGATATGCTGTTACTTCTACTTTATTTCTTAAATATTAATGGACAATTTATTTATATAATAAAAAAAATGACAATTACCTCTTCCCTTAGGTAAGTTCATTTAATCTCCAGTTATATTATAAAAGTATGTTTTTTAAACATGTACATATTCCCTATTTTTCCAAATGGTGGTGCAAATAAGAATTGTCAACAAACATTATTGAAAAAGAGAAAGATTGACAAGCTCTGTCAATTATCGGTGTATGCAGGTTTAAATCTCCCATATCCGTAACCTGTGGCCATACTCTCTTTTGTATCTGTGTGTGTGATTTCAAGATCCAATCGAAACCTTTCGAACGGTATCGTGTACTTAAATTCATCCATTGGTATCGTCATGTTGAGTAGGTGGTACTCTCCCTAAAGAATAGAATGATTTCTATTACAGTACCTGCACATTTTGCACATGTTAGAATAATCCAATTGATTTTATGCCTTAATCTGTTAATAGTAATTGATGTGCTGATATTTTTGTATATTCCATTTTTACTCTTTTGACAGTAAAATGGTCTCGTATATGAATATCATCTGCTAATTGGGTGTTATCAATTGTTAAATATTTCTCGGTGGATGCGGGCAACTTATGCTTAATAATAATTCAACACCGATTTTACACAACTATCGTCATTTGCGGTCTTATGTGTAACGACCGCATTTATAAAAAAAGAAAATACCTGTGAAAACGGGCAGCTCATGCCTCTATTCCTTAACAGTTGTCCAATAAAGGGGTCTTTTTTAAAAAGGTCGCAGGCTCGTTCGTGTATTTCAATGAATGTCCTCCGGTATTCATTGTGCAAATATTCAAAAAATATCACGTGTAGCTGAAATATTAAAAATTGTATTTATTATTGCTTTAATTATTGTTATATAATGAGTAGTTCGGTGGCGTAGGGGATAAGCGCCGCGATCGTTGTCGTTAAGCAACTTTCACAAGGGTCGGTAACGGGATGGGTGACCAAAAAATTCTTATCTCGAGCTACTCCGTGCTTCGGAAGGCACGTTAAGCTTTTGGTCCTGGCTGCATTTGTAGTCGTTAATACCCGCCAATCATCAATATAGTCATTTTCATTTCACATTTTCATTTCATTGATATTAAAAATGTAAGATTCGTTGTGAGATTATTATTAACTAGGTTTTTAATACTATATCCTTGAGTCTCATTTGATCTACTTTTTTGTTCACTTCCGGTTGCTCTAAGCGACCGTCACTAGCGGTGAGTAGCAGAATTCTCGTATTATCCAATTCTCGCGGCAGTAGTAAAAATTAAGGTTCTAATTAGTAAATAGTTAAAATGCGTTTTATGATCTGGCAAAACGTTGCTACTCAACAACTTGACAGTGACTTATTAAGGGGAACTGTTTGTTATTGCCTGGTGGTGATGTTAGACGCCATGTAAATAAATAAATATTTATTATATTCTATCGAATAATTTTCAATTCACAATATTATACTGGAAAATATTCTCAATAAATATTATTAAAAATTCTACTTTGTCCCTGGCACTCTTGAGATATGAGAATAATATTTAGTCAAAAACCTATTGAAATGTTGGCTTAGGGCCAGTTTTTTGATCCGTGGTTAACTCAACCATTTGTTTAAATCTTTGACAAATGGTTAAATATCAGAAAAATATGTTTTTTGAATAATAGTTAGCCTAACCAATAGGGATGACGACTAATTTTTGTTTGTTTGTCCGTCAGGTAGAGTGTTAAAAAATATTAAACACGTATTTTTTATATTTTTCGTAATCATAAAATTACGACGTTACATGGAGTTGAAATTTTCGCATGACGTCACGTTATGGTACGTTTTCTACTAAACTGTGACGTAGCGAGCCCCCACTCCTTAACTTTAATGCCTGTTATCTAAGCTATTTCTTGTTTAATTAAAGTAAAAAAAAAAACGTATCTATAATTTTTCTATTATCTGATTGACGGACTAAATAGAATTGCTTTTTTTTTACCCAGTCGTCATCCCTATTGTCAAAATTACAACCAATCAAAAAATTTAACCATCACTGGAAGCTAGGTTAAGTAAATGACCAATGGTTAAAAGAACAGATGTACAACTGAATTGTATTTACTTGGTCCCTTGTTATTATTTTTCACCTTGTTTTTATAACCTACATGATTTCATAGTGAATTTGGACATTAGCTATTTTTGGAATTTCGTTTTATGATGCAATTTCATAGGAAAATATTGATTGTCATTTTTGGGTTATAGGGTTATTGAAAATAAGTCATATTTTTATCTTGATCATCCTTAGTACATTTGTACTATATAAAATAATTTGTTTTCTTGTTTCCACAGGCATATGCCAATTTATTCAATTATTAAAATCTTATAAAATCCACGAATAGACAATACAAAAGGTAAATATGCCTATAGTACATAAAATACATTGTCCTCGATTTATTTTCCAACATTACAATCCCACCTTGGATACTAGATACTATATTATTTTCACGAATTTCTCTATAAGATAAATAAAAAACAAATATATACTTTTTATATATTAAATGGAAAAAAAAATATCTTTGTTGCTTTCTAATATTATTAAACTGTTTGATAATCTATAGATTTCTTTCGTCTATTTGATATTTGGAACAAAATCCTAATGTCAAAAATGGTATATAGTTCGCTCTGTTCATTCAAACCGTTAGTGTTGTCACCCAAAAAAAAAATACACATGTCAATGTATAGCGAAAAAACGACTCATTGTGCTGGCAACAAATTGGCCAGTGGTTAAATTTGGCTATGGTTTATTTTGGCATCAAAAAACGAAATAGCGAGTTAACAACTTGTTAATGTTTTAACTATAGTCAAGTTAACAAATGGTGAAATGACATTTGACTACGGATCAAAAAACTGGCCCTTACTTGCTGTTTTATTGCAATTTTGGCCCACGTAAATTATAGCCTATGTCGCCCGCGTACGATGTAGCTTCCCGTAGGTGAAAGAATTTTATAATCAGTCCAGTAGTTACGGAGCATATTCGTTGTACACAAACAAATAATACGAGTATAATCAAATCTTTCCTCTTTATAATATATAAGTATAGATAATTTTAAATATTAAACAGCATCGCATACATTGCTCAAATTCCAAGATGAGTAGCTAAATCTCTCGTATTATGGAGTATCTGAAACAACGAAAGTTCCACAACACGCAGACTCGAGACTGTTTAATCGTTAATCGGACCTGGGACCTTGAAACCACAAATAAGTAAGGTACGAGGGTGACACTAAAAATGAATCAAAATAATAAAAAAAAATGTTGAAATCGGAACCCTTTGCTGTAGGAAAGGGCTAAGGGAAAATCGCTAAATAGTTATCAATGAAATGAACGATTTGTAAAGTGAGTGATTTATAGACGGAGAGCTAGTGAAAAAAATGTGCGAGAATTTTTTAAAGCTTTATATTTCAGTATGTTTAAGTACAAAGGGTATGCATTTATCACTCTATACCCAGAGCGATGATCAGGTAGGTATTTCGGAGCGGACTTTTGCAAGAACTTCAGAGATGTGCTGAGTCGCCGTCTTCCACGACTTGTGGTCCGAGTATTTTTTTTCATAACTTATAATAATTTAGAAATTAAGTGACGCATGATATAAAATGACATAAATATATACGTTTTACTGTTCAAATCTGTTTACTTTTCGATCCCTTATTGATGGCAAAATGGCCCAAATAATCTTATATTATAATAAACAATAGATATATTTGTTGATTTGTGAGGTAGATAAGCAACTATGGCAGTACAATAGCAAAGTTCAAGTAGTTAAGATTCTATTAAGATGCGATTATTTCGTAAAATCATCTCAATAGAAGCTCAACCAGTTGAATAAGTTGAAAAACTAGTTGAACCTAAAATAATATTAAGTTACTTACGGTCACATTGTTGCCCCACGTGTGTTTTATTTTACCCTCTACATTGATGTAGTATGGGCTCTTGCGGCTTGTCCTGGTTACATACCCGCGTGCATAATACAGGTACTTATCCGACCATGACGTCACGTTACCCCGCTCCGGCACCAGGACGGCAGTGAGCCGTCGGGTCTGACGGGTTGACAAATTTTATTTTCAATAAGGTTACAAAACGTCCTACTACTTCAGATGCTCGAGAAGGGATTTTTATATTTCAATTGAGCTTTCTTAACGTGACCTCCGAATTCCTTAAGTACATGCATTAGTTACTGTTTGAAAACGATTCAATAATTAGGGTACGCTAGGACTGACGTATCTTAAAGATAAAAGTCACAAAAATATTTATTAAACAATCGAAGTAGATACTTCGCAATATAACAGGTCCTTGTTCTACCTATAAGACGTTTCATTGACTACCTTTGTTTATATGTATTTAGGTTTCACTGCATTCCAGGCGAAGACTTAAAAAAAAAAAATATGGCTGTATGTAATCATGATGACTTATTGTTGTTTAAAAATAAAAATAAAATAATAACTACCATCACTGTTAAAGAAATTAAGTATTTTGTCTTATTTATTTCTCTCTTAAAAGTGGGCGAAGATTTCCTGACCAATCTCACATTTTGTTATAGTTGTTTTTTTATTTCGGCGATTGTAAACTTACGTGAATATAGTTGAAGAGTAATGTGGTTAATAGGCAGATTCTTATGATCATTTTGTTGACGTGTATGCTGTCGGTGTATATTTTAAGTGAACATTTGAAAGTTGCTCGCTTTTATTATGTAAGTGGATCAAATTAAATATGGCTGCCTTTTATCTGGACCTGATCGTTTGGTACCTCAATTGTTATGTATTTTATTGTTAATCGTATAGATTAAAGATAATTAGACGTCAATTCGGTAACAAAAAGATTTATGAAATACCAACTTTTTCATATATTTAATCGTTACTATTAAGTTAAAATTTCTGTACGTATTTATTTGAAGGTGTACTTTGTGTTAAGGAGTGAAACCAATTATTGTTTGTTCTTTAATAATGTCTTTACGAATGTTTTATTCGTCACGGTTAATACTTCCTGGTAATATAAGATATTATTTTTATTTAAAGGACTAACCGGTTTCTAAATTGAGAAAAGCAAAAAATCTCAACTGGGTATTCTTTATAACTTAAGTTTTTTACTTTTTATAAGACAAAAAATCCTAGTATTTATCAAACTGCAATCAACTGATCATTAAAAAGCTAAAATAAATAATTTAAAGAAATACAAAAAACCAAACTGCGTAAAAACAAATTTTAAAAAATACATCAAAAAATTAACTTAAATAAAAACTAAAAAGAAAGAAACAAGCCCAGTAGTTTAGAATTCTGTTAAGAAATACTAAATAACAGAACGACTCATAGTCGTAAAATTTGAATGGTAATTTTATTATGTATTTTTTAAAATTCGTTTTTACGCAGTCGGGTTTCTTGTTTTTCTTTAAATTATTTATTTTTATTTTATCTTTTTAGTTACGATTCGTTGACTTCTTTATAAGACGGTAAATTTCGTAATCTAGTCATATCATTGAGGTTGTTAATTTCGTGGGGTTTATAAAGTAACTGGCGGTGGTCTAAACTTTCTGATGATTAGTTCCTCTAGAGACCTAACTCGGCTCAAGCTACATATACTTTATTTTTTTACCAAAATTTTTTGTTCTTCATGCTATTTCACAGTTTTTCTTTTGTTTGTATATCGTTTATACTTTAAATAAAAACTTAAATCGATAAGTAAAAAAATGAGCGAGAATGATTGTTTTGTTAAACAACTTTAAATCGTTATATATCCTAAACTATTCTTTAAAATGAAAAATGATAAAAGGAACCCAAGGATGATTTTAAAATACCTATTTAACGACACCCCGTTTGACACAGTTCATCGTTTTTTTTTTTCATTTTGACAATATGGCGTCTGGTTGTCGCTGTGGTGAATTTTGATTACTCTCATGTCTTTAGTTCAAGTTCTTTAGTTTCAAGCGAGTATGCGTAAGAATATAGCGTCCGTACTATACAGAACACGCATCAGTACCCACATCATCCTACATACTTTAGCTGGAAAATGGGATAGTACCTTTTTCATACACTGTGCCCGAGTATTGATGAAATAGGAAACTTTTCTATCAATATTCTATCCTTTATTAATTATTTGAGTGTGCCTACAGCTAATATAAGTTCATACTAACAATAATATGGATCTTGGATGTCCGAAATAAAAATTTATTATTATTATTTTAGTGACACTCGCAAGGTTGAGACGAATCGATTGACGTAAGAATCATCAAAATCGGCCTACGCATTTGGTCTCTAGAACGCCACATAGAAACAAACATACATACATACAGGGCCGTGCAGGTAAATCCGGAAAAGTTTAGATAGGTATAGTGAAGTGATGTGTTATTGAATTTTTGTGTTCAAGGTTTTTAATTTAAGCTGAAGAAGCATACTTTGACAGTGAAACAACGTATAAAGTGAAAGTGAAAAGTTGAGCAAAGAGCAGGAGAGCTGCGATCCTGGAATCACTGCGCGCCGGGAAGACCGCCAAGGAGATTGTGGATTGGTTTGGCTTCTCAAAAACGCAAGTTTACGAGATAGTCAAAACCTATCGAGAGGCGGACAACAAGGACGACGTTACTTCGGACCGGGCAAGACACAGCAAGCGATCTGAGCGGAAGCGGACTGGTGAATTCATCGATCAGTTAAAGGATCGGATTGACCAGAGCCCTGGAACCAGTAATCCACGTGTTATAGACGGTCGTTAAACCGTGGATGGACCGTGTAGCCGATGGACGTGAATACGTCGTCCAACAGGATTCTGCGCCAGCCCAAAAGGCGAGAGTCACGCAAGCATGGTTTCATACCAATGTTCCTTATCATTGGTCGCCGGACTTGTGGCCGGCCCTCCAGCCCAGATTGCAATCCGCTGGATTACTACGTGTGGGGCGTAGTAGAGGCAGAGGTGAACAATGAACTTCATAACAAAAAGGACGCGCTACGTAAAAAAATTACGGCGGTAATGACCAATATGAACAGAGAGGAGCTGGCTCGGGCGTGTAGGCGATCCATGTCTCGGCTGGAGCAGGTCGTTGAGGCGAACGGGGATTATATAGAGTAATATTAACGTATGTGGTGAATACTTTCATTTTGCCTAGTTGTGTGCATGTTAAAAAAATTTTTGGGGATAAAATATTTATTTTTTTCTTTCAGTAAATTTTTCCAGAGTTACCTGTACATACATGCATAGACTGATAAACACATTACCCTCCTTTGCGTCGCGCAGTCGGGTAAAAAGGAAAACCTTTTTAAGTAAAGTTTGACTCGTGCTTAACCTTAAATACTCAATTCAGAAATCGGGGTGAAAAACATGCTAATATATTTGACTTGACCCAGGATGAGATTTTTATGCGCCACAAACTTGTCGTGTCAATGACTGTTAGAGAATATTTTGATAATAAGCACTTTAATATTAACATTATGGACTTGTCTTGCATAAAATTATTATTTACGTTTTAGTGCAAACAAATAAAAGCTTGTTTTTAAATTATTTTTTAATAAGTTTAATATTTAATTTGTGTATTTTCTAAAATCCTACCAGCTAATAGTAATTAGGGCCTCAATTCTGATAATTTTTACGTAATAGTCGCATCTCAATAGAATCCCATATTGTCATCGTACTATATACCTGAAGTTCAATATTATTATTATGGCTTCCTTATAAAATAATGAAGACAGATATAATCATTCGTTTGTAATTTAGACACAAGCACTGTGTCATAGATTGTCCTACTGAACATAATAATAAAGCTTAATCTTAATGCGACAAATAATATACTTATTTTATAAATCAATTTCTATTAAAAGTCAGCTGCAATTGTCATTTCATACATTTACCCCGGTTTTTTTTTCAAAAACTAGTTTATTTAGGTTTAAAAGGGCCATATCCATAACCTTTTGCGATATTCTCTTTCGTATCTATGTGGGTGAGTTCTATATCCACTCGAAACTTCTCGAACGGTATTGTGTATTTGAATTCTTGCATTAGTATAATTAGTTTGGGTGGATGACTGAACATTGATGAGAATACGCGCTGTAGTAGCGAAAATAACAAGTGCTTGAAAGATTCGTCAGTCCTGTTAGGTCCAGGGTAGCTCAGCGGTTAGAGCAGTCGCCCGGATTGCGAAAGGTCGTTGGTTCGAATCTTATCTGCCAGGGACCAAGTGTATTTTTAAGCATTTTGTATTAACAATATGTATCTAACTTGTTTAATATAATTATAATAGGGAATATGTTTAAAATTAAAATTACTCTTAAATATTTTTTAAAATATTATTTCATGTCTACATTATACACTGAAAGTATTTTTTTTGGTTACTTATTATTTTAAACCAAAAAATATTAAATAGAAAGTCAAAAGCGGGAAATGCAAATTTATAAAATGTGTCACCATTGTTCGAACGAAATGTGACGCCAATTGGCATGTTATCATTTGATTTATCGGCGTCGATATACATGTGTGATTCTGTGCTATGTATATAGAGAAAAGTTAATTAAAACTGTATTTCTATGAGATTACTTCGGAACAATATTAGTAATCAACCCAATACGATGACAGAAACCGGTTTTGTGAAAGCACAATCGGATAATCTACCGAAAATAGATGCATTTATGATGTCGGCATATAGTGTATCTAATCTCGATTGCACGAGCGCAAAGGTTAAAGTTATTTTTGTCCATAACATAGGTATTTATTCACAAACAACAAAACTAAATCGTACCTAATCTATAAATACCCATTTGCCATTAAAATTGTTCCCGAACTCCTAAATTACGTCTATTATGTAAAAAACTAGTTTCATATTATGTTATTGAAGGTCACATTCACGTATGATATTTTTAAATACTTTTTTAAATAGCCACTTTACGTGTTTTGTATGTCTTGTGTAAAAACTGTTTACACAATGAAGAATATCGTTTTGATTTACACCAATCATTTACTTGTTGCTGTTTCAAAATGATAATCTTATGGTGATTAAATGCAACAAAATAAAACGATAATGGAGATACATTTTCGTTTCTCACCATTTTACACCATTTTTTTGTATTTTCGCATCACGTGGAATACTTTAAAACACTTTATCATATCGTAGTTATTTGAAGGTTATCTTTTGCCGTTATTTATATATTAATTCTGAGACTAGTATGGAGTAATTGAGACGCTATGGTAAACAAACACGGGACACGATCAATGATGTCATAAAAATTGATACGCATCATCTTTAATCTGCAAAATACAGACAGCTGTAAAGCATGCTTTCATAAATATGAAATTCATATGTTGCTCGGCATTTATATAATAGGGAGGGGAAAAAGTTTCTTCGCATTTATATGAAAATTAAAAATATTTTTTAATAAAATTTACATTTACATTTGTGCGGAACAGAAAGGAGTTTGGACTTACTTTTAGTTTCTTCGATAACCCAGGGTATTAAGCCGCTGGTCGTAAATCTCCCGCGATGTTCTGGGATTGATTTGATTTCAATTTTGTTATCGTCCTAACTGCCCCTCAGACAGCGTTGATTTTCTATGTATTTGTTGTATACACTTTTGCGCTTCAAGATTTGGTTGGAATGGGACCTTGCGGGATCGACCATTCGCTATGGCGGCGGAGATGCAACAGGCAGC